ATATATATATATATATATATATATATATATATATATATATATATATATATATGCATATATTTTTTTTTTGTCTTCAACATGTATTTTGTGCAAAATATCTTTAAAAGAAACAAAACTAAGGTTGGGTTGAAGCGCATTTATTCTCCCAATCAATGGGCTTTATTACGTTTACAGCTTTCTTTTACTGTCAGAGTTCAACATTTTTTTGTTCACTGTCTGGCTGTGCAGCTGTGTCTATCGCCTTCAAGATGAAGTCAGTGATCCTTTTTAGTTGTGTTACCGTAAATTCAACAAAACTTCCACACAGAGAAACCGTTTTTTGGCACATTCACAGACACCAACAACAACACTTTGCAAATGCCATCATCAGTGAGTCTCTGTGAGCGGGGCTATGTGGGGTCCAGCCCATCTTTCAAGAAATCTTCTTTCTTTGTGTCACAGAGTAGAGCTCTATAGTCAAGAAAATAAATTCTGCAGGATGAACTTAGGTCCAATTGTTATTTGGCAGATGATACTGACTTCTCACAATGTTTGCACTTTATGCACTAAATAATGATCAAGAGATTATGGATTAACTGATAAACATTGTCATTCTAACTGTATAATACATAGAATAGTTGTGGAGGAATAAAAGATTTAGAAATAAAGAACAAGTGATTTATCAATTTTTTCTTTTTTACATTTTAACCATGTGATTACTTTTCTGTTATGTGCAGATCTTAAGTTCAAACTATGACAAGTTAAAACACCCAGAATCAGTTTCAAACATTTAAAGCAAAGACGGACAAATGTCAGGAAGCGGGTACAGTACCAGCAGTACCTGAGCTCAAGTTTCTTAAGGAGACTGTTTGTTATTAAAGGTGCATGTACATTTCATCTAAGCTCTATTCTTCTCTGTGGAGCTTGTTTGTCTCTTCCACTACCTCAGCTGCTTGAGATGCTGCATTCATAGCTTTTGTCCTCAACCTCCGCCTCGGCCGGTGCTCCGAAAACCAGTTAGAGACCGACATGACGAGACGCAGGAGACTTAGGCTGATGCAATGCACTTCAGAGGTAATGGGGATGTCAGAAAAAAGAGCACGTTCCCGGCAAATGAGGGCGGTGCTGCACTCAAAATCTTTGACGACATTAAGGATCTCCTGTCGCTCTGCCTGCCGTGTCATGCCTCGAACATTCAGCACAGTAGAGACATGCTTCTTCCTGTGGGGTGGAAAGAATCATGGAGGAAGTTAGTGTAAGCGGTCACTGTTTGGTGTCGTAAATGGCGAGTAAAGGTGAGTAACGATCACAACCCGCTGACTCAAGGCATGTCTTCTGGGAAGGAACACAAGCTAAGAGGAAATGCGCCAAGTTTGGCTTGGACCCATCAAATCATGCTCAGATGTTTTCATACTGGTATTGTCGCATTTATTTTGGCCTTTCATATGATGCTTTTAAAACAATTGGTTCTTCTCAGGTATTTCCACCATAAACAAGAAAAAAAAACATGATTTGGACTCATGTGCTTTTCAGCACAATCCACAAGCTTTATTACTATTATGCCCTTTCTATTTTAGATGAAATGGATTAGTAAATCAAGGAGCAGCCCAGGAACTATCATGGATTAAGTCTGCTGTCAAGTCTTGATCACCAGAGTTCCTGTCCCCAGAGACCTGTTTATGTGCTAATAGATTTGGTCAGCAAGAAAGATGCTTCTGCTCCCCAAATCCACACCTCCAAGATCAGTTTGAGTTTTACATCTGCCCCAAATAAACCAGCCAAATTCCTACAGGTGAAAAGTTATATGATCAGAGAACATAATGATTAAGGAAATTGCTTGCATGGCCAGGAACCACATTTGAACGTGTCAAAGTCAGCATTGAAAGTTCATGAACTTTTCACTAGACCATATAGATGACCTCTAAATAATTCACTCCATAAGGACATACACTTTCCTGATCATTTTGCCCTTTGGACTATTGGACAATTTTCCAATTATTCTGGAGATGCGGCTTCACAGGGACTCTATGAAAAAAGAAAAACTTTACTATATTTAGTCCCATATCCTCAGTCATTTTTTTTACTTTTTGTAAATGTTTTAACATTGTCTGCTCCTCCAGAATATTGTATATTGTTTGTAATTAATCTAGAACTAGTTCTAGCTAAATTTCAGATTCATAAATGAATTTCACAATTTTTTCGCAAAAAATCTCTGTTTAAAATATTTTTATTTGATTTGCTAAATTATGCTTAACCCATATGAAACTCATCCAACCACAAAGCTGTAAAGACTCGTGATTGACAGTTGCCTTTTGTATCTCTGATTCTTTTCTATATATTCTGTCTCATTGAACCCCAGCAGGCCTCAGCAGATGGCCGCTCAAACTGAGCCTGGTTCTGCTGTAGGTTTCTTCCTGTTCAAAGGAAGTTTTTCCTCTCTACTGTCGCTACAATCATGTTTTGTGTGAAGGATTGCCTTTGAGTCAATGAGTCGATGGAATCAACTGGTTTTCCCTAGATTTTTAATCAATTTAAATTGTCCCTGTAAAGTGCCTTGAGATGGCCCTTGTTGTGAATTGGCGCTATATAAATAACCTAAATTGCCACTTCGGCATTATCTCATTACCTTTTTGTTTCTTGACATGTTGACTCAATAAAAAAAAAAAATTCTCAACCTGTCAAGCATGGGGTTGGTCCAGATTATTAGGCAGAGTGGACATAGTGATAAAGAATTAGTAGGACAAACCATGGATTCATCCTCAGGTCAGACAGAGTGTCCCCCAGCAAACAAGGACCCAATTCATAATGTGTTCCCTTCTGACTGTAAGACATTCAGAGTGGCCTGGACCACAGCTTTTTTATGAACCATTCATTGTTGTGTCAGATGATTGGAGACAAGTGCAAGAAAAAGAACTAGAGGAACAAAATAAAATGATATTATACAGTAGCAGCCATTCAAAATGGCCCTTCCCAATCAAATGCCAGTCGAATGACAGCCCACTTCCCAGCAACTCCCAGCGAAATCCCCTCCAACTTCCAGCCACTGGTCGTCTCCTGGACATGCATATTTTCTTACTCTAACTCCATCCTTTCACTGAATTACAGGGTCTGACCAGGAGGAAACACTTCTCTTTAGATTTTAATGTCCACAAATCATGACAGAAAGAATATTTTAGCACAAAGATTGATGTTTAACAAGGAATTGTAGTGGACCAGCCAAGGACCCATCAAGGAAAGTGGGGACATTTTGAATGGCTACACTGTACTACTGATGTTCTGGCTTTTTCTGCTATGGTGGTGATAAACAAACTGGGCCGTTACGCTTAGAGTGAGTTATCAGACATTCACGTCTAAAGTGCCACATCTTATCCTCTTCCTCACCCCGTTCTTTTAATCCTAATTCTGGCACCGGTCTGTCTCCTGTAGGGTGGCAGAAACAGGAAGTATTCTGCAGCAGCTTCCTGTCCATTACATGGAGGCTTGTGCGTCACATGCTGATAAAGGTTGTTCAAGATCACCTGAGTCTTAATCTCTGCAAATAGCAGGGACTCTCCAATCTCCTCCCAACCCCCCAGGGGGCTCTCTGTCTCATTTATTTTTAACACAATCTCCAAGAGTAGCTCATGTGAATGGGAAAATGTTTCCACATTGCTTTCCCTTGTTTTGATTCATTGCAACAACACAAAAAGAAGGAAGAAGGAAGAGAAAAACATACACTGTTGTAGTTTGAATGTGTAGCAGTTAATGGAAGATGCTGCAGACATGTCTGGTATCATTAATGCTTCCTGGCTGCATTATCAAAAATCAAATATTATTGACATGTGACCTCACCGTATATCAGGAAACTCCTTCACTAGAACAGCAACCTCCATCTGGATGGATGGAGTGTCTTCGAGGAGGATGATGTCGGCTAGGTGGCAGATGATACTGTCCAACCAGGAGGCACCTGACTCCTAAAGCACATATAAAAAAAAAAACAATAAAATAATCAGGTCACTATTTGGATGAAATCAGTATGCTCTCAAATGGCTTCTTCCACTAAAATATTTCCTCTTCTGAAGAAGCATGCACAGTATTCCACAGAGACTGCTGTTAGAGGAAACTCAGATAAATGCCTCCTAAGGCCAGAGGCCAAACATTGTATTTATTTTATTTTACTGGTTACTAGCACATCTCCATCTTAACACATCTGCATCTTCCCAGTTTTTGTTCTTCCACTAATTCTCAGGAAAACAGATATGAATTCCTTGCTTCGACATACACTAAAAATAACAGAATCTCTTTAGAGAGCCCTTAAAAAGTCATCCTCTCCCCCTGCCCAAACCAAGCCAGTTTCCACAGAGGCCCCATCCTGCTCCTTGGCCAGAAAGGCCATCAAGGCCAAAGGCACATCAAAGTCAGCCAGCAGAAAGGAACAGGAAGTTCCTTCCAAACACAGCCACTTCCTCTTGTCAGCCGAGGTGATGGACACTTACTTGAACTCCCATCTAAAAAGGCAAATGCCACAACGTCAAGCCCAGTTGTTGCACACGTAAGCCTAGCCATCCATCTCCATCTTCGTGAGGGCAGCCATTTTTCATGACTGCCAACACCGAGACATGTTTTTCCTCTGTAAACAGTGTCTGACTTTTTACTGACCTGTAAAACTCAAAGGTCGGTCTCTATCTCCCTCACCAGAGTCAGAAACCAGAAACCTAATATGATTAAGGCAATGATTTTGACAATGCTTCTTTAGAGGCATTGTCGAAAGCATTTAAAAAATACATAAAAATAGATACATTTATAGGGAAATTTAGAAAAATATATATTTTTTTTATTCAATTCAATTTACTGTTAAAGTTAATGATACCAAATTCCAAACTTAAACTATAAAATGTGTGTTACCCCTAAAGGTTGTTTTTGGGACCAAAAATATGCTAACTTTATTTGAAAGACATTTTTACAGAAACTATTTTTTTTGAAGTTTTTTATGTTTGCTAATGATATGAATTTTTTTGTGTTTTGAAAAGAAAAAAGACAAACTGAAGCAGTTAGTAGTTAAAGATAACCTGTGTGAAAACAATGCGTTTTTGACTGTAACAACTTATTTTTAAATTAAGATACATATATACAATATTATTTGTTAACCAGATTTACAGTAAATTTGAAGTTCCAAATAAATGAACTGATATTGAGAATGTTTAGCCCCAGTCGGCCTCGGCAGATGGCTGCTCACACTGAGCCTGGTTCTGCTGGAGGTTTCTTCCTCTTAAAAGGGAGTTTTTCCTCTCCACTGTCGCTACAAGCATGCTTAGTGTGAGGGATTGCCTTCGAGTCAATGAGTCAATGCAATCAACTGTTTTTCCTTAGATAGAAAACTTTGAATCAGTTTGACTGTATGATCTGGTTGAATTGTCTATGTAAAGTGCCTTGAGTTGATGTTTCGGTGAATTGTCCCAATACAAATAAACTTAATTGAATTAAACCACACCTGACTCTCTGCTACATTTCCAACAGTTTGCTTGCTGCTATATGTCAAATGCCAACGACTCAAACATCGTACAAGTAAGAACCTCCTCTTTGGAAATAGGATGACAATCCTGTTTCTCTCTGCTTAGAGTATAGACCCTTTATTTGAGGCAACCGATATTGAGAGAATTGAATTGAATTAAGGAGCCTGAATTTCTAGGTGTACATTTTTGACATATATACTGTATTGGTAAAGTTACAAAAACAAGCCATAACCAAAATCATATAGTTACTGATGTGAAATGATGGGATATGTTTATGATGATTTAAATCTATGTGTTTCTTTGCTGAGGTTAAAAAGATCCTTGAAAAATCCAATTATAAAAGCTCCAGTTAAATGTATTGTGTAATCTGTGTTGCTCTAGTTAACAAAGAAATTATTTTTTGCAAAAATAAGTTTTGCAAATTTGTGTTGAATTCAGTTTTTGTTGTAGATTTATCATAATAAATGTATCCAGTTGGTCAAGTATAATGTTGACTTTAAGCTAGTTATGGATGCTTTATCGTGCTAAAGTGTTTCTTCTAAGTCTAAAGATGTTTTGTGCTTGCTCAATTAACTTACCAAATCCCTAAAGAGCCCTTTCAGATGTTTTGCCTCATCTTGTAGACGAAAAGCCACCCTTTTTCTCATTTTGGAGGAGGTGCAAATGATCCGTCCTTGCATGATGGCTCGAACATACTCTACCAGGACCCGTCTGTGGACTTCACCCACCAATGTCTGCAATTCAAGAAAAGTAACATGTTCTTCAACCATTTCTATTTAAAGCTTTTGTTCCCAGTTAAAGCTAAAGTCTGGCAAGGCTTGTTACCTGATATGGAGGAGGGTCCATTCTTTTGAACTTTTTGAAGTGATGTTTAATGCTGGCTTCAATGGCTTCAAAGGCCTCAGTGTTGTTCAGCCATTTCCTCTTCATCAGTTTGTCGAAGAAGGGCTGTAAACAACAGGTCAGAAACCTTAACATCAGGTGCAGCGTAGTGCATGATTTTAGCCATCTCAAATAGATAGTCAGGTTAAAAAAAAGCTCACCCTCAATTAGTTCTAGGGTTTTATTTATTATGATAATGTGAAAAATGTAATGTGTAAACAACAGACGGACTCTAAGCACACAAAGACAAAAACTGTATTAACCGAACATCGGCAAATTAACATTTAGAAAAGCAGGAGTCTCCTCAGACCAGAGTTACCGGATCAGAGTTAACCCCGAAAACAGAGGAACCAGCTTTTTATCTCATAAAGATTCTGCCTCTCATTCTGGGAAGCCCTTTAAGTCTGTCCTGAAACAATGTCCTATTTCTCATGTTTGGAACCTAAAGAGGGAAAACTTTATTCTTATTCTTTTCAATGGTGAAAAGAGTATGATTTTCCTCAGCATAAAATAAGAACATTCAGTTATTTGAAGAGAAGTGATGGTGCTGACCCTTATGTGCTCAAACAGTCTGTCCGTCAGAACCCGCACTGACTGGCTGATGATTCTGTCCAGGGAAGAGTTGGCTCTCTGAGCTGACTCTTCACTACCCTGTGGGTCACACTGCCTGCAACGCTCCACAAACGTCCTGCAGGTGTAAACAAAAAACAGCAAGTAAAACATTCAATTTATTGACTGGAATCTTTAGCATTAGGATTCAGGTAAGGAACATCACTCTGGTTGCAATGTACCTCAGGGGAGGGCAGCAGTTAACCAGAGCTATGGTCCTGGACACGTATCCGTCCCCTCGGTCTCCAAACTCTGCCTGCGTATCATGAAACATTTCCACCTTCCTACGAAAGCTGGACATATGAAAGGTTCATGAGAAATTTTCTTATGCAAATTCGGTGTCTTGAGTGCTTTTTTTTGCAGCAATGATTGGCTATGACAGACCTTATATTAAACATCCAAGCATTTTAACTAATCTCTGAAGCTGCTTTCCACCTAGCTTACTGACTCTCACCAGCTGTACTCTAAAGATGCCATCCTACCTGCAGAATAACTTTATCCTAGAAAAAGTTTCTCAACTTGCCAGAGAATCAACAGAGACACACTGACCACTCTGTTGCTTTGCAGTCAGAAAGGCAACAAACTGTGAGGGACTGTATATTTTAAAATATTTCTATTAGAATCCCCATAATGATATAAGCTGCATCTGCTCTTTTGCTAGAATGGACCGCACAGCCAGCATTCAGTGTTTATCTGCCTTTTTAAGGTTTACTGTTTTTAAAGTCCGGTCATATTCAGAATTCAATGTTCTGAAAGTACTTTCAATATGAAATCATTATATACTGTTCAGAAATTATAAGTGTTTTTAATTAAGAGTCATTTCATTTGAATGTGCTTTACATCCATGTTTGTCAAAGAACACTACTGCCACCTACCAGTTTGTGATGTCAAGGTACGGTATCGGCTGTTGATCAAGTCCCAGTGCTGTATCTGGTGTTTGTCACAACGCGCTAAATCATCTTGAAAACTTCTTCTAAATGTTGGCTACATATTACGTGTTTTTTCTCTGGCCAGAGGTTTGATGGCAAATCATCCCTCTTCAAGTTGGCGATCCAACAACGAACCCGTCCATGGAGGATCAGGAATCAGAAAGGTGGAACAATTTTCTTTTTTTTTACTTTTACCCGATGTATTATAACATCCAACTGCCATGCACGTGGGCATTGTCACTTTAACTATGGCTCTCATGTATTTCTATGGTATAATCCTCTGGAAATCTTCAATAATTGTTATTGACTGCATGTGTGTCTAATAGTTTTTATTGATTTAGCTTGTAAAGCAGGGAGAATGGGGCTAGGCTTACCGCACCATGACGTCACTGCCGGAAGATGTCAGAAGTGAGGTGTTACTATATTTGGGCAAAAATAGCCGGTCCCTGCCTCAGTGATCATGAAATTTTTTTTTTTTTTTTTTTATTGTGATTAACGCTAAATTCATTAAAGTCTGCTGAACTGCTGCTAGTTTTACTCACATACCTGGAAGATGTCTAGTGCTACTACCACAGACGATCTCTCTAGAAATGGAATTGAACGATTCAGATTAGCTCGCGAATGAATACAAGGGGTAGAGCGTAGCCGCCTGTGGCCTGGGCTGCCTGTCACAACTCCAGTCCGCCGCGCGGATGACATCATACTAATACTAATAATCAATATAACCGCGAATGTCTGGGATACAGTGATTCGCCTACATGTTCTGAATGCTGGCGTACCATAAATAATAAATTATGAACAGTTTAGTTTGTGCCTTCAACTCGTTGCCCATAGGAAGACGTTACTTGGATATAACCTAACGGAATATCTTCAGAACGGCTCCATATGACACAAAAACTGATATGGGTGAGAAGAACATGATGTAATAAAGTAAAATCAAGGGGCCAATGTAAAAAAAAAAAAAAACAATGTTCCCCTTTAAATCACTGTGAAGGTATTAGTTTTTGGTATAGATAATTATCCACTGATTATTTGTTGCTGACCGGACTTTTCCTTTTACTCATTAGACCTTCTGATAGAAAGTGTCCAGAAACACCAAACAAGAACTACTATTTGGATATGTTCTGACCTAGTCTTATTGTAATTATTGTTAAGCTTTCGGAATCTTACTCAAATCCATGAGCTAGCTTTATTTTACTACTTGTCAATTCAAAGGAAACAATTATAACTTGATGCCTTAGATACCCTGAACAGTGGTAGGTGCCATGATGTAAAGCTGGCTTTTACCTAACTTGTAAGCAGTGATAATGTAATGCCTGCTTGGTTTTAATGCCAACATCCTAACATGTTTTTTGAAATCCTACTGTGTTGTTTTATGTGAATCATTGTTCTGTTAATCATGTTTCCCAGATTATATTCAGTCCTATCATTAAAAGACATCCTGTATTAATCTTATCCTTCCCAACATCAACTCACCTGAAGAGAAAGTCAGCCAGCCCAATCAGACAACAGCGAGCAACTCTTGCACCCAGAAACTGGCTCACAGATGTGGATCTATCCAAGTCTACTTTCAGCCTCTGAAAACCAGTCAGAATTGAAGTTCTTAAACATAGCATTACCAGACGTTTAGGCTAATGTTACCTGGAAGCTTCTCTGTACCTGGATCACTGAGCGTGATAGGTTAGACTGATACTCCTCTATATGTAGCGTCTGGGCCCATCGCCTCTCCTCCTCATCCAGAACCTGGATCAGTTCTGTTGTTACCTTATCCTGAAATAGAAAATGATCTATAAAAAATCTACTTGAGATCCATTTTAATTTGCATGAAAATCTTTCTCAAACTCCTCTAATTACCTGGACTATATGAATGCAGTCTTCCTCCAGCCTGTCCACTGTCTGTTGGGGAAGAATAGGCTCCAGTGCAGTGTAGAGTATGGGTGTACTGGTGCCAATGGTTCCCAGAATGTCCCTTCAAATAAATACTCAATATTAAATTATCTCTAATATAAGCAAACTGAAGCATCCTTTGAAATCGGCATTCACCAACCTGTTGTAGATATTGTAAAACCAGTCCAACAGTGAGTAGACATCTGTAATCTGCAGCGGCCTGCTTGTGATGGTCTGAAGACGTTTGGCAACAGCTTGGTGGTAGCTTTCTACATATACCTGAAAGGCTGCAAACTCTTCTGGGTATATGGATACAGCATTCCTCCTAGCCGCATCTAGATCGTCCACCATACGGCTCCTCAAACGCTCCAGATAAGAGGCCAGTTGGCCTGCCTGAGTATCTACCTGGTGAGGCAGGCTCCAGTCTGCGGCTTCTGCCACTGCCTGCCTCCACTTCATCTTCAGCCTTCGAGGGCGCTGGCTGTTTTGAATGTGGGGGCTCACTCGCTCTGTCCTGGTCTCCTCTCTCATAGTCCAAGCTGCATCGGCATGCTCCTCCTGTTGTATCACCAGCACCACGAGACCAAGGTTAGGGCCAGCACTGGGCTGGCGCAGCGACTCTCTTACCACGTCCCACATCTCCCTCTGCAAGGCTTCATACAAGAGCTCAACATCCTTAGCCTTCCTTTTGCTTGAGTCTAGAGTTGCATTAGAGCTAAGTGCCTCATCAAATGATGAAGAAGATAGAAGATGGCCAATAGGAGGGGTGCTGCCACTTAAGGTAGACGTAGGACTGGATGCAGTTGTGGCTGGCAGCAATGATAGGAGCTCACACTCTCTCTCCAGTTCTAGGATATGCGTGTCAGCCAAGAGAAGGTCTCTGTGGTTGACCAACTGTAGAATCTCTAGAACTGTGGAAACACAAGAAATATGTAATATGCACCATTACTAGTGCAATAACGAGACTCGAGGGTTTAGAAACAGAAGGGAAAAGGCGTTCTGTTGTTGCTGTGCCCACATTCTGCTTTCTGTCTCTACATTCCTTTTCTCTATAAAAGTTCTCTGTGGAATAAGAAAAAGGTGGCTCCTCTAAACTTTTACAAGAATCTGGGAAGGGAGAACGTGCTGTCATTTCCTGATCTGACAGCCAACTGATGAGGGACTCTGGGGTGGTTTCAGACTAATCAGATCATGTCTTAGACAGGAAACAGGAAGAGCGGACCTGATCCTGTTTCCTTGATTCTTACCTGACAGGGGTTCTCTGGTTTTGACCAAAGGTTCCTCCTCCACCTCCTCATCCTCAGCCTCTTGTGAAGCTTGATCGGACATTGATTCTCTCTTCAGCTTGCCAAGGCTGATCCTGAGACAAGAAGGTCGCCTGGATCCCTCTGCATAACTCTCTGTGCTCAGGTCCCCACAGGGCAGGCTTTCCCTGCGCTCTTCTTTACGCCGTCCTGTGAAGCTGCAGAGCATCCACAAAAACAATACCAGAGTGTAACGTAAAACCTCCAATGGATTGTTACATTAGATTTCAGGTACATTTTAAGACCGCATTTGCTTTTACAGTTGGTAACTCCATTACACAGTCACACACACAGATAGAGGCAGAGAAGAGCCTGTCTCCCTAAAATAGTCTTTTTCATGGAGACACAGCAAGATGAGCCAACAAGTTAGAGAAAAGCAAAAAAGGTTTTGTACATGGTGTTCAGCTCCACGACGCCTTGGAGCTGAACATCAGGTGTAAATGCTCCTCTACTGCCATCAAGCTAAACCTTTTAATTCATCGTCTCCCAGGTGCCTTAGATCATTTATATCTTACATTTTAGGATTCAAAGTTAGACTTTTTTTGGAAAGAATGATTAACATATGACTGCACCAACATCATAAGGCCCTTTGTTTTAAAGTGACATAACAATAACTGAAAATTGAAACGGTTAAAAGGGTCCACCCCTTTGGAATGAGGCTGGTTTGGCTTCTATTATTAGCCTACAGTACCCTATACCTCTCTATTTCTCTGAAAGGGGGTTGTTAATGCGAACTGTTGGCCTGGCCAAAAAGGCGTTTAGGAGAAAAGAGTTAATCCCTTCACGCTATCATCGCAACCCCAATCCCTCTACATGGGAACAGAAGACACCACTTTTTTCAGCCAGGCCAACAATTTGCCTGTTGTCCATGAGAAAACTAGGCTTTGTTGGGTTACCGTATAAAGCAACTCAACGCTATTTTTAAAATTTTAATTGAAAAAGCTTCCTGGATGGGAAGTGAAATGTCTTCAAACTTGGAAATAAAGTCCAGTTTTTTTGTTTGTTTTTTTTACTTTTTTGGAATGACTATGACGCTGATGACTGAGAATCATCACCAGCAACATTAACTGAAAATTGAGCTCAGCTGAGCAGCCATTTCTCACCGAAGTAGGGTCATTATCCCCTCTGAGCCTCTCCGCAGCCCTTTTCTCCTCTCCTTCTCTGTTGGGAGTGTGTTGGAGTCTCCAGGGTGGTAGTGGGGAAAGCTGTTCCCCCACACATTTCGCCCTGATATGCGAAGACCCTTCCCTAATTTTCCAAGGGTTTTGAGAGGTGAGACTCCACAGATCCGTTCCAGAGTACCCTTGAGTGGCCTCGCTTTGAGGTTCCCTGCTCCATGCTTTTCTGCGTTCAGTTCATTCTCTTCCTCTTCTCCATCATGACAGGACCTCAGGTGGAGGTTCCCCCCGACCTCCCCCATGAAGAGGCCTTTGTCTCCTTCATTCTTCTCGTCCTCGTCCAAGTCCACATCCTCAAAGGGGTTAAGGTTTTTTTTCAGTTCATTCAGCTCCTTCAGCTCATGGAGATCATTCAGGTCCCTCAAGTCCAAGTCAAGCCGGGGCATGATAAACTCTCCCTTCACTCGGGGGAACTCATGGCAACTCTTGGATCTGCCAGGGAGCTTTTTAAGAATAGGCATGGCTTTTGAGCTTTGAACGAACTGCAAAACAAGAACATTTCAGGTAAAGTATCCGTACTCAGGAATGCAAAATTTTTGTCAAAACTGAATTTCAAGAAATTTTTTACTTTTTATTTATTTATTTGTTTTAATTTGATTAGTATAGAGTAATTTCCAACAAGATTTGCTGATCTGCCATTGAATTTTTATTGACATATTTTAACAAGGACACATTTTCTACAACGAAAGGATGCTTATGTAATGTCGTCACAGACTAAATGTGAAACATTGATGTAAATCATCAAGATCTTATTAGACAAATGGCTCTCACATATTTGTGTTGGACAGCCTGCAGCTTCAGTAGAATCTGAACGATTCTTGAGAGACACCTATGAAGAGCCTGCTTATGCATTGGTTTAAAAACAAATATTGAAATATTTTTTTATAAAGAAAGTAAAATAATCATGTTAAGTAAAAACTTAATACATTTTTCCAATTGTCCAGTGACTCATAATGACGGCTTAAAATAGTTATAAAAGCATTCCCGGTGACTACTTTCTACTTCCTCCTGAGACTGGCTGAGAAGTCTGCAGGACCATCATGGACACAAACAACTATGCACGCTCTTCCTCATACCCTGTGCCATTTCAGGATTCTTTGGAATGCCCAAGGAAGCAGGAGCAGCAGAGGAAATCCACAAAGGCTCTGGGAAAACATTAAACTTGGATAAAAATAATCCTAATCATAGACTAATCCCCATTATTTAAGGTCTTCCCTAAAATCACAGTAGTCAAAGCAGTCAAAGCTTGAAGATAAATACTTTTTTCTCTTTGATAAAGGCTCAAATGTCGTTCAGTGTCAGGTCGCAGTGTTTAGGACTGCTGCCTTGCAGCAAAAAGGTTCCTGGTTCAATTCCGGGCCCGGGGTCTTTCTGCATGGAGCTTGTGTGTTCTCCCCGTGCATTTGTGGGTTTTCTGCAAGTACTCAGGCTTGCTCTCACAGTCCAAAAACATGACTGTTAGGTTCATTGGCTTCTCTAAATTCTCCTTAGGTGTGAGTGTGTATGTGAATGGTTGTTTGTCCTGTTTGCCTCTGTGTTGCCCTGCAATGTTTGCTCTTGATTGTTGTATTTTTTTGTGCGTGAATGTTTTCCATTTGATTATGCTTGTTTTGTTGTGAAAAATAAATCACATTGTTTTTTAAAGGCCATGTTACATGACGTGATGTGTTTAATGATCATTTAAAAATAAATTAAATGACAATAACACGGCTCTATACTTTCTCACACAAAGTCCCCAATCTTTTGTTTAACCAAAGAAAAAAGTAGCAGCAAATTATCTTATTTTCCTTATACTTTTTCTTCAGTTGAGATCTAATGTTTCTAATATGTTCTTTTAATCAAAGCTATTTCCTGTTTATAGTTATGTTGTTTTACTCATAATAAAGCTTAAACTAACAGGTTGGCAAAGAAACTGCACTAAATTGACGGAGCGTCATTCGGGACCGTAATGCCAACAGCATTAGATAGATTAGATTAGATTAGATTAGATTAGATTAGATTAGATAAGATAAGATAAGATAAGATAAGATAAGATAAGATAAGATAAGATAAGATAAGATAAGATAAGATTAGA